AACCTCCAGGTGCCAGGCAGGAGTCTCTGTGGTCCTGGGGGCAGGCTGGGACAAAGGCTGGTGTCTGAGAGGGTGAAGGCCAGGCCTGGGAAGGGGCCAGCGCAGGGCGGGTTGCACGTGTGCTCAATGCAGCAGACGGAGGACAACACACCAGGAGAGGAAGCACAAGCTTCAGCTTCAGAACAGCCTTGGCCTTTAGAGGGAAGAAGGGAATTGGGGCAGGAGGGGGCCCACAGGGAACTTACACCTGGGAGCGTGCTGTTTCTTCAGCCAGGTGGGGGTCCATGAGTGCGTGTTCCGTTCTCCTTTATAACTTACAGAGGATGTTCATTGAAGGACGCTTCTGCAGCCGGCCTCCTGGGCACCATGCTTAACGCCGCCTTAGCTCTGTAATATGTGACGGCTCTTCTATAGGCAGGAAATGCCTCATAGTAGAAGCAAGGTGGTAGACAGGTGGTAACGAGGAAGGAAGACAGTGTGGTCCAAGGTGGTGTCTGCGGGCATGAGGGTCATGACCGCCGAAGACCAGCTCCGATGCATTTTTATTTCCATGCCAAGTTGGATTGGCTCTGCCTGGTTCATCTGCTTCATGTAAAGGGTGGGAAGCCTAGTGCCTGCACCCGGCACTGGTCCTCTGTTATGTGAGTGCGTGCTTGCTCACGCTCCACGTTCCTGAGGGACTGGATCCTGTGCCCCTACTGGGCTGACAACCTGCCCCAGGCATTGCGTCCAACCCCACAGCACACGTGCTAGCTAACCACACTGGGCCAGGGCTCCCAGAAGTCACCCTCCCTGTAACCAAAGCCATACCCACCCTGAGGCCCGGCCTCTGCATGGTCTGGGCTTCAGCTCTGGCTTCTCCTGCCTCCCTTTGTGCAGGCTTCTCTGTAACTGTGTTCTGGACCAGAAAGGGAAATCTGAACAGTTAGACATCATCACCCAGGTCTACCAAGTAAGTCCATGAAGGAGACCTCTCTCCACCATTCACTTACTTCCAATTGTCTGGAAGGAAAGTTACAGCAAAATGTGTTTGTGATCTTAAGGAAATAACAGGCTGAACACAGCCCTTGGCTGGGAAATGGGGGCAAGGGTGTCACACATGCTGTCCACTACCTTTGGCCCTGACCCTAGCACCACAGCACAGCCATTGCATATGCTGAACTGGCTGTGTGTTCCGCAGGACAGAATGCGTCAGCTGGTGGATTCAGGCCGCTACGACACCCGAGGAGACTTCGCCGTGGTTCTGCAGCCCTTCTTCCAAAACGTCCGGGTCCCAAGCCTACAGGTGCACTACCTGCCCACACCCACGGGGCTCCTGGGGGGAGCCGGCCATGCTCCATTTGGGAAAGAAGCTTGGGAGAATCCCAAGTGCTCCCATAAGAGTGTGTGTATTGGGGGGCGGGGTGCCCACAACATGGTAAAGACCAGGCAGGGGAAAGCTGCTCCCCACACTGTGCTCTGGGGGGTGCGGCCCGAGGGAATGTTTGGGCCGTGGCCTCCAGGACAGCTGGTGTGGCGAGCTCCATTAGGGCTGAAGACAGCATCTGTTCTATGGCACACCTACTATGTCCTGCTAACCTCAGGGTCAGCAGTTCAAACCCACTAGCTGTTCCTCTGCAGAGATGAGGTTGTCTGCTCCCATGAGGAAAAACAGCCTTGGGTCCCCTGTAGAAGTTTGCTGCACATCAGAATGGACGCACTCAGTGAGAGTGGGTTTGGTTGGAGGTTTGGTATCCCCCCCGGCACGGTGCTATTCAGACACTAGACCTTGTCCACCACCCATCACAGGCCCGGAGCTGGGAAGTGGCTTTGCTGAAGCCCCGTGGGGAGTGAGAGGTCTTGTGGGTGATCAAGGAGGGGTCAGTGGACACGAGGGAGCCCCTCATGAGGACTGACACAGTAGCCGGAGAAGTGGACGCAAACAGACCGCCGATCACGAGGAGGGCCCAGGGCCGGCGGTGTCTGTCCTGAAGGGGCAGAACCAAAACAACCACAAGTCCTTACATGGTGACCAGCCTCCTGCCGTGCCCCCAGCAGCCCCCCAACACTCTCTGAGTCTTCAGTTAGCAAGAAGGGTTTCTGGGTTCGCTGTGTGCCACCTGGCCGTGTTCTTTTCCTGATGCGTCCACTCTGAACAGAAGAGATCAGAGAAAGGGCCGGGGGAGGGCTGGCTTCTGCTCACCGGAGCCTCTGTCCCAAGACCCTCCTCACTGGGTCAGAGTTGCAAGGAGACAGGCCTGTGCCCCCGAGTCATGGAGACAGGAGTCAGGGGGCACACGGCCGGGGGTCGGCCTAGATTCTCACACACTCACCCCTGCCCCCCGCCCCAAGACCCCAAGGGCCAGCTGGACAAACACTGCGGAGAGGTTTTCCCAGGTGGCCGGCCAGGGTTCCTCAGAGACAAGGAGCCTGGTCCAGCACCTGTGGCATAAGCTCGGGTAGCAGGTTCCCAGGGGTGCAAATGACTGACATGTGACGACTGGCCTGAAGCTGAGCTGACGGAAGGATTAGAGTCAGGACAACCCTACGGGCTGTGTGACGAGGTGACCGTGGTGTCCCCATGAGTGGCAATCAGCTCAGTGGCGGCGGGTTTGTTTCTGTGGATCTTGAAGGCGTCCTGTGACAGCGCGTACATGTACACAGGGGGCTCTTGGGTGCAGTGAGGGGCACTGTGGCAGCAGTAAGGGGCTGGTGTGGGCCCTGAGGCTACCTGCTCCGGATCTCTCTGCTCCATCCGGAGCTAGCAGGCCTGGGGAGGACCAGTCTCCACCCACCCCTGGGGGAGGAGGGACTAGCAGGCAGGGCAGGGCCAGGCCCACCCGAGCCAATGGCCTCTTGAGGACTGTGCTTCTCCCCGCAGGATGGACGCCCGGACACCTCCTTCTTCGCCCCAGACTGCATCCACCCAAATCAGAAATTCCACTCCCAGCTCTCCAGGGCCCTTTGGGCCAACATGGTAAGAGGAGGCAGCTGGTGCGCCGGTTCCCTGGGGGCTCGTCTCAGGCCACTGTCCCACCCCTGCAGCGTGGCACCTTGTCCTGGGCCTCCCTTTGCAAGGGGCCCGCGATGAGAGACGCGCTGACTGCGGAGACTCTCTTCAAATAGGACGCCCGTGTGATTGTGCCCGGCCCGGCCTCGCCCTCTCCTGTGGACTCTCCAGGGGCTCTCAGCCGGTGCCTGGGAGGCAGACACTTCACACTTGCTCAGTGTGTCCCATGTGCCAACACTGTGCCAGGCAGTTTAAGCCTCCGTATTTAAGATTAAGTATTCAGAGTTTGTAAGGGAGACGCTAAGAGACCCACCCACCCACCCAGGTCACAGAGCGACCACTGGCAGAGCCAGGAGCAGCCAGGCTCGCTGACATCAAGGTCCGAGTTCCACCCACTGCACTAGGCAGTGAGGATTTGGTCACTTGGTCAGAACAAAATGACCACACCCACCTCTCTTTTCCTTCCCACCAGCTTCAGCCACTCGGAATGAAGTCGAACACCCTGAAGCTGGCAGCGGTGATCCCCGTTTCCTGCCCCACCAAGGTAATCCAGAAGCACCTGCTGTTGTCCCTCTCCAGAACCCAGAACGTGGCTCCCCCTCTTCCCTGCACCCACCACCAGGGCTCCGCACTGCCACCTTCCCCCACGCGCCTGGCACCCAGTGTCAGCCATGGAGCTGTGGGAGAAGGGTTCCAGGGAGGCAGGAGGGCACAGGGAGAAGCAGCTGAGGGGGGAGGGGGTGAGAGAGTGGTGGTCAGAGACCTCAGAGCAGGCTTAGGGATGCTCCCGTAGAGAGAGGGTCTGTGATGGGAGGGGCAAATGGAGAGCCCAGAGCTGTGAGGAGGAGGAGGAGGAGGAGGCAGGGGGGCTGCTGGTGGAACCTTGGTGAGGACTCCGCTCAGGGGCTCCTTTTAAGGAAGAATATGTGAGTGATTGTTAAGCTTCACTTCAAGCCCAGGGGTGGGGGCAGGTTCATGTTCTCATCGCCTTGAACTTCCTTTCGGAGTGCTGGTAGCTGAGTGGACAAAGTTCTTGGCTGCAGCTGGGAGGTTGGCAGTTTAAGCCCACCAGCTGCCCCTCAGGGGACCTATGTGACACTCTGCCCTGATTGAGACGTCCAGCCCCTAAACCCTGTGGGCAGTTCTCCTCTGTCTTCTTGGACCACCGGGCCACTGCGAGTGGCAATCCATCTGATGGCAGTGGTTTCGTCTCTGTAAGGGCCAGGCCTTGTCCCTGTGGAACTGCTGAGTGTTTTGGAATCAAGGGAACTTTCAGAGGAGTTGGAGCCTCCTTTACTAGGCCATGAGGAGCTTGGTGGTACAGTGGTTATGGATTGGGCTGCTAACCACAAGGTCAGCAGTTCTAAACCACCATCCACTGCTCGGAAGAAAAATAAGGCTTTCTACTCCCTTAAAGAGTTACAGTCTCAGAAACATACAGGGCCAGTTCTGCCTTGTTCTCTAGGTTCAGTATAAGTTGGCATTGACTGGATGGCAGTGAGTTTTATAGGCCATAGCTATGACTCTTTAACCTCTTCATGATGGAATTATCTCATAGTTTGAAATATTCTATATACCATGTGTTTTCAGTAATGAAATATGGAAATCAAATGGAAATTTTAAAAATGTGTGTGGATTAGTTGGGCGTGTACATTTCAGAGCACCACTTTGGCATTCAACAACTAAAACTGCTTTATCAGATCTCCATATACCTGGCTGTACCCATCTCGCTTTTCCCCCTTCTCCGTCCTATATAATATTGTCCTCCCACCATCCAGCTTAACCATGGTCTATCCACTCACCTCTGTCTTCTCCTTCAGTCCCTTCCTCTCCATCCCTAGTAACCAGAAAAGTCTATTTCTTTTAGTATAAAAACCTTTGTGTTGATTTTTCATTTTCTAACAGTGGTCTCATACGATAGTTTTCCTCTTGTGATGGTTTTATTTGACTAATCATAATGTTCTCCAAATCCATCCATGCCTTGAGGTTCTTCATGGCTTCATGATTATTCTCTGGCAACGCATAGCATTCCATTGTGCGTGTTTGTACAAGCTTGTTGATCTACCATTCCCCTGGTGGACATTTAGTTTGTTTACATTTTTATGCTACTGTGAACAGCCCTGCATTGGACATGGGAGTGCATCTCTCTGTTTGTTCTATGGCTCTCACATCTTTAGCGTGCATTCCCCAGTCACAGTTTAAAATCAGAAAAGGTGTGTGTCACGGGTGTCTACTCTCATCATATTTACTCTATCTGTATGCGAAGCAAATAATCAGGAAAGTTGGATTATATGAAGAATCATGTGTCATCACGGTTGGAGGAAGGCTTATTAACAACCTGCAATATGCAGAGGACACAATCTTGCTTGCTGAAAGTGAGGAGGACTTGAAACACTTCCTGATGAAGAGCCAGGATTACAGCCTTCAGTATGGATTACAACTCAGTATAAGGAAGATCAAAATCCTCTCAATTGGGCCTTTACTTACCCATTGGTAACTATAAAGGGATACAAGATTGAAGTTGTCAACCTTTTATCTTGCTTAGACCCACAGTCATGGGAGCAGCAGTCAAGAAATCAAAATATGAGTTGCATTGGGTAAATCAGCTGCACAGGACTTCTTTAGAGTATTGAAAAGTAAGGATGTTACTTTGAGGAGTAAGATGTGCCTGCCCAGAGTCATGGCATCTTGATTGTGCATGTGATGGTTGGGCACTGAATAAAGAAGACCAAAGGAGAATAGATACATTTGATGTGGTACTGATGAAAAATAATGAAAATACCATGGACAGCTAAAAGCACAAACTGATCTGCCTTATAGAAATGCACCAAAGTGCCCCTTAGAAGCAAGGATGGTGAGACATCATCTTTATATACTTTGCATATGTTGTCAGGAGAGAATGATCCCTGACAAAGAACATGTTAGGTAGGGTAGAGGGGCAGCAAAGGAGAGGAAGGCTCTCAAAGAGATGTCTTGACCCTGTTGCTGAAACATGAGGCTAAAGAATAGGAATAATTGGGAGGATGGGTGCAGGGTCAGACGGTGTCTGTTTTATTGTGCATAGACACACTATGGGGCGGAATAGACTCACTGCCACCGAACAACAACAGTATTGTGGTCTGAGAAAGCCTTTTGTAAAAGCATCTTGAGATTTTTAAATGTGTTCAGACTTGTTTTGTATCCGAAGCTAGTCCAGAGACTGTTCCATGTGTACTGGAAAAGAATGTATATTGCCGCTGTTGGGTGAGGTTTTCTGTGTATGTCTAGGAGGTCCAGTTGTTTAATTGGGTTATTTAGTCCTGTGTTTTTATTGGGCTGATTTCCTGTTGTTTTGTCCTTCCTGGAAAGTAATATATTGTAATTTCTTACAATTCGTGTAGTGCTGTCTATTTCTCTCTTCTAATCCACAGCACTTTGGTTAATGTCCTTCCAGAGTCTTTGTTTCTTATGGTTTTGTCTTATCAGTTGTCATGTCAGTCATTATGCAATGTCTCTGTCTCTCGTGAAGAACTTTGCCTTGAAGTCCATTTTATCAGAGATTAATATTGCCTCTCCCCCTTTTTTCTTGTTGTCATTAGCTCGATTGTTTTCCACCCTTCAACTTTTAGTCTACATTGGTCATTGTGTTTAAGGAGTGATTAAGCCCCATATTAATGGGTTCTGTTTTTTTATCCATTCTACTCTGTCTCTTGACTGTTACATTTAATCCATTTCCATACCTTTGTCAATATAGATGAATTTATTTCTGTCCTTTTACTGTGTCTTTTTTTGAGGTGTTATTGTTCACTATGTTCCTCATAAAACTATCTGCTGAGCGAGTCCCTTTTGTCTCTGGGCTTTATTACTTTTGTTGTTGTTGTTGTTGTTGTTCTACTAACCACTTTCTTGTGGTCTTTTTTATTTTGATGAACTTTTCCATTCTCTTTGAGGTTATTTTGTTATTTGTATTCCAAGTTTAATATAGTCTCTTCTCGCCTGAGAACTACTTGACTTCCTCTCCATTTGAATGTTTTGTAGCTGTACCTTCCCTGCTAGTCCCCTTGTAGTTGCCTTTATTGTGGATGATACACGTGGTTCCCTATTTTCAGTATTGTAAGTTTATTTCATTTTGAATACTGCTTTTATTTTAAGTGGTTTTATTTCTGGGTGGTGTTGTCTTCTATGTGAACCGCAGGTTTAAAGCTGCTGTTGGTCTCTGTCCAAAGTACTCCTTTTACTACTTATTTAAGTTAAGCCTTGTTTTTACAAATGTCTTTAATTTCTAGTTAATTGGAAATGCCCTTACTCCTGGGGGAAATTTGGAAATAATGTGGATTTTGATACAATTGTGTGGCACAGATGCCTCACATGGACTCTGGTGGTAGAATCAATGGGGTGAGAGTTGTTTCTACAGATTTTCTTAATTATAGGTCCCTGCCAGGCATTGCATTTACTAAAACTGGGATAATAACTTCCCAAAAAATCCTGAAAAGCAGACAATATTGGCGAACAATATATGTCCCAAAAGTCACAAAAGGATTAAATAAGGCTCAGTAAGGCCTTAGCACCAATAAAAGCAGAGGGACCTGCTTTAATCTAGGAGGCCAAGTTTCCATTTTGGGTCCAGCGTCACCATTCATTGCTCCCCTCTTTTGAGCAGCGGCCATAGAATAGACTTGCAGCTCCCCCATGTGTCTATGGGGTTCCCGAGAAGATGGGCACTTATTCCCATGAACCAAACTCCCTTTCTGCTGCCTTTTCCACCTGTCTTGGATCCAGACTTGTGGGTCATCCGCCTCCAAGAGTGGCAGGAAGAAGGAGGATGTGGGAAGTACCAGAGGTAATGGTTTCAGATTTCTCGCATGCTGGTGTTGGGCTTTGAGTAAAGAGGATTTAAATTATGTGGCTTTTAAGGTGACATGCCCACCAGTCCAAATGATTAGATGCAAAGTCCTAGAAATCCCTAATGGGCCAGGCGTAAACTCTTTAACCAAATCACCATCACTTCTTAAGGAGCTGTCAGATTCTGTCTTGAGAAAGGTGTAGGGCAGCTATTTCATAGGCCAGGCACTACTAGGAGCTAAGAATGAGAAGGCAAAGATAAATAAGACAGCATGTATATTCTCAGAGCTCATAATCCTATTGCTCACCCCTTGTCAGGGCATGGACAACCCTTACCTGGATCACTGACATGGTCCCTGACTTGTCTTCCCAACTTTCCCACCTCCCTCCCTTCTCCATTCACCCCTCACTTGCTGCTAAAAAGTGACCCCAGTCTTGTCCCAGCTGTTGAGAGTCCTTCCTCAGGCCCTTACTCCCTATTGAGTAGAGGCCAGAGGGAAGGCTCACCTCCCCCTATTGCCTTTGACACTCTGTGCTCCTGGCAAAGGGACCAACATTCCAGACAAGCCCCCCCACAATTGCCTCTCTCTGTGCTCTGACAACTGTCAGTTTCTCCTCTTAGCGGGTCACCCCCCAACTCCACCTGTGCTCATGTTCTCCCAGCCTCAGATGTTTTCCTCTCTGAGATCTACTTTGTCATCTATTACTTCCCCCACCCCCAGACACTCACCTGCGTTGTGCGCTCCTTTCTGTTGGTGCTTCTCATGAGACCCTGACTCATTCTCCTCGCTGGTGTGATGGTTTCGGTACCTGTCTTATATGCCTACTGGACAATGAGAGAAGGTGACCCACCTTAGACCTCAGATACCGATCACTGCTGCGAGCACCAGGCTCAGCAGAGCAGGCACTTGATGACTGTCCCTTCAGAGTAAGGAAAACACAGAGGCGGGAGGAAGAATAGAATCCAGGGAGGAAGGTCCATGTGCCTCCTCCCCCAGCCCTTCTCACATTGGTGTCCTTTAATCGACTCCAGAAACAGCTGTCCACCCGTGTCTACCTTGCCTGATTTCCTGAGCACTCCTGGGATGACAGTAGTTTTCCAAGAGTAGCTGAGAGGAAAGCCCAGGTTGTGGGGGGTGGAGGGGGGCTCTATCTGCCTGCCCAGCCTTCTCTTCCATGGGTTGCTTATCAGTCCCCCAGTCTGTAGCCCAACCTTTCAAACTCGTACACTTAGAAAGGGAGATGCTGGCAAGGAAACACAAGAAGGAGGCTGCCTCCTTGGGAGACCCATCCTCCCTTGAGGGAGCCTTACATGCAGGAACTCAAGAAACTCTCACTGTAACTGAGTTGAGAGTGGAAGTGCCCCTGTGGGTTTCCAAGACC